ATTTTTTTTTTTTTTTTTACTATATTTTTGTTTATAAAATACCATTGCCTTTAAACACGTAGCTGAATTCGGGTGCTTAATAAAAGAAAGAAAAGAAAAAAAACCAAAATAAATACTAAGATGAAAAAAAGCATGAAATATAACATATTTACATTTATCTCTTTATCATAAGTTTAATATGCAATAAATCGCGTCACATTCGATCGATTGTTGAACGCAAAAGGCATTCAGTCAAAAAATTTTCTCCGCAAAAATTCTGAAAAAAATTCTCTAAAATTCTCTGCCACGATGTATAATTTTCATTGGTAGTGTGCATTGGAAAAAAATAAAAAATACGGAAATGGGGAGGAAATCAATAATCCCAAATGTTGTGTGACGTTCATCGCACATTTTTGTATAAATGAGGAAATTTCTCATAAAACTTACGGTGAAATTCTTTGTAAAAATTATACTGCCATAACAGTAAACGAGTTATTATTTTACTTTTTCCTCTAGATTTTTATTACAAGGGCACACAAATTGATCGTCCAGCGAAGATAAATTTATTGTAGCCCAAAATGTTAAAAGATTATATATAGGTTATTCCACAATCGAGTGAAATTGAATTTGATCAAACAATTCGCGAGAAGTTCTACTGTGACGATTATTACTTTGGAAAAAAAAAAAAGTGAAATTCTTGTCGACTGACAGCTACAGTTTTTATTTACCGGGCTTGCGAAATCCCCGCAATTGACAATCAAAATTGTATGTACACATTGTTTTTATAAAATTTACAGAGAACGGTATATTTTACTAGACGTTGTGTGAATTTTATACGATGATAAATAAATAATTATACGATTCCGGTATCAAAACCCCACACCGTGACGCGTATCCCCGGTGTTACCGTGAATTTCACGGTAAATTTTGGGGATATTTCTCTAAATATATATATTTTTATGTCTACTTTGATTAATAATATTATAATTATTTATAATGGTTGAATAAAGGATAGTGCAGTAAAATAAATATATATATATGTATACGATAATTAGAAATAAACAAAGAGTATTATTAAAATAATCGTACGATTACAATCGTAAACGTTGCAACGGTGGTGCGATAGAAAACTGTAATCAATCATTGCGATTAACACTTTTTTAATCCCTTGGACTTAATTGACTATATAGATAGTCGTAAAAAATTAATGAAAATGAAAATGAGGCAATGCTGAATTTGGACGGAAGTAGAGCTGAGTTGCAGCAAACAGTTGCAATCCTATAAGTATATGGTACAATCAAGATTTACTAATTTTATTCACAGTTAATAATAATATTAATAATAATATTAATCATAATAGTAATATTAAAGATAATAAGTCGATAATTAATTTCTCTATACGATAAAACCTTTAGAATCGTCTAATTCTGCTTCCTGTAAGAGGAATTTTCACTAATATACTTCTCGTTCACCAGTAGATGCATACAGAGTGTCTTCTGATAAATAACACTTTACATTTATGGATTGATCATAGTTTACACTGGTTTTTTCTCCTCTAACCAGTGGTTACACTCGTAAATAATATTATATGGTTGTGGATGTATGTGATTATAATGAGAAAAAATGCATCGATATTTTTGTGTCTGTCTCTAAATCTTACAGATTAGCGCAGGTTCACATTATATTCATCATATTTCGTTTCGTGAAAACATATTGTACATTAATAGCAGATTCTTATCATTCCGTTGATTTAATACCTTTATTTTCCTTCAATTAGAATATAATAGGCGTTTACATTGATAGACATGAAACAGTTTGTTGATGGACATGGAAAAGTAGAAAAAAAAAAAAAAAAAAAAATATGAAAAAAGTGATTGCACAATTATGTTTGTTCGCTTAACTGGATGTAAATTTTTAAATTAGTTATTTTTTTTCTTTAATCAAGTTAATATAACAGTTAATTGGTGACTTACTACGATACAAATGCAATTTACACATACTTTTGCGCTGGTTAATAATAAACTTTAAAAATAATGGTTACTTTTATGTTTTTCTCACTATTACTACGAAAAAAAGACAGTAAAATACAACTAGAAACTATTACGTACATCTTACACTCTTAATGCAACAGCAAAATGCATATTTTATTTTTCAAATAAAATACATATTATACACTCAGCTTAATATAAACTGTCGATTTACCTAAGACATCTGTTAATATCTTACTTAAAAATTTCGAGTTAAGCGAACATATTCATAAAAACAAAATGTCATTTTCAGAGCATAAAATGTGATTAGAAAATGATAAAAAATGTAACATTTCAGTGCCTTTATTTGACTAGTAGCCAAGCCCTTCGAACGAAAAAATTATACTTTTAAAAGTTTCACTGATGCAAAAAACTTGTTTTTCAAGATAAAAAATACTAAAATAATGAAAAACATTTGATAAAATTTGCATACGCCCAAATATGAATTTATTTTTTATCACACATACATCCATGGATCATAGAGAATCAGAAAATCATATTTCATACATTTGTGTAATTCTAAAAAATTCCAATTTACCTAAATTTTCAATGTGTTATAATTTTTTTATTCTTCTTATTTTAAACCTCACTCGGAGTCATTATGTTACTGAAAAGTGTGTAAGTAGAGTAGGCTACAATACATTTTTTGTGAAAAAAATGTAATCAAAAATCGCCGCAAGATTTAATTTTTTTAATTTTCTTTTTTTTTCGTATAGTTAGTGCTCTATTTAATCTGCGAGCCAACATATCGTATCTCTATTTTTATATTTACAAAAATACATACTCTGCAGCAATAACATTTCACTCGTTACAACGTGAATTTTTTTTTTCTCTGGCGCATTGTTCATGCAATTTTGTGCAGCAGCAATCTTAGAGAAAATGCAAATGTACAAAGAATGTATATAAATGCTACGATGAGAAGAGAAAATAATCGTCACAACTTACACGTACAGTTTTATAAAACTTTTTAAGGCGTAAAATAAGGCTCATTTCACATTTTAAGCTTCAGGAAAAAAAGTCCGTGTATGAATTTTTTTTTTTTTTTTTTTACTATATTTTTGTTTATAAAATACCATTGCCTTTAAACACGTAGCTGAATTCGGGTGCTTAATAAAAGAAAGAAAAGAAAAAAAACCAAAATAAATACTAAGATGAAAAAAAGCATGAAATATAACATATTTACATTTATCTCTTTATCATAAGTTTAATATGCAATAAATCGCGTCACATTCGATCGATTGTTGAACGCAAAAGGCATTCAGTCAAAAAATTTTCTCCGCAAAAATTCTGAAAAAAATTCTCTAAAATTCTCTGCCACGATGTATAATTTTCATTGGTAGTGTGCATTGGAAAAAAATAAAAAATACGGAAATGGGGAGGAAATCAATAATCCCAAATGTTGTGTGACGTTCATCGCACATTTTTGTATAAATGAGGAAATTTCTCATAAAACTTACGGTGAAATTCTTTGTAAAAATTATACTGCCATAACAGTAAACGAGTTATTATTTTACTTTTTCCTCTAGATTTTTATTACAAGGGCACACAAATTGATCGTCCAGCGAAGATAAATTTATTGTAGCCCAAAATGTTAAAAGATTATATATAGGTTATTCCACAATCGAGTGAAATTGAATTTGATCAAACAATTCGCGAGAAGTTCTACTGTGACGATTATTACTTTGGAAAAAAAAAAAAGTGAAATTCTTGTCGACTGACAGCTACAGTTTTTATTTACCGGGCTTGCGAAATCCCCGCAATTGACAATCAAAATTGTATGTACACATTGTTTTTATAAAATTTACAGAGAACGGTATATTTTACTAGACGTTGTGTGAATTTTATACGATGATAAATAAATAATTATACGATTCCGGTATCAAAACCCCACACCGTGACGCGTATCCCCGGTGTTACCGTGAATTTCACGGTAAATTTTGGGGATATTTCTCTAAATATATATATTTTTATGTCTACCGAGGATCGTTTAACGAGAGAGAAAGAAAGAGAGAATTGGTTACTCAAATAAGCAGCCATTTGCATTTACTCAAACAGAAAATTAATGATATAATACACTCTCACCCACCCCGTTCACTTCGGAGAACAGAAAAATAGTATAGTCGTCGAGTTCTTGCGCTTGGGCTGCTCATCATGTACAAATGTAAATAATACACGCTCACACATGAGGCAATTCGTGGAGTTATGTATCTCTCAATAAATATAAATTGTTCGTCTTAACCAGCTATGCGTCTTGTGGAGAGTTGCGAGAAAGAGACATTGATTAGATGTACGAGAATAATGGGGAAAAAAAAATAGTTCGCTTGGCTTTCTCATCCGCGTCTGCGTATTCTCGTATAATATAAGTTACGATTTTTTCTTATGTACGTAAAAAATAAACGCCTTTCTCTGTTTTTTTTCTTTTCTTTTTTCTGTTGTAAAAGATACTATCGCAGAAATACAGCGTCGGCATACTTTGATATAAATTCGTGCGAGCGAGATAGTCGGCTTGCGAGAGCGTGTGTGTGGTGCTTGTCTTCGTTTCACCATTATTATTTATCGGCATATCAAGTGCAAGAGATTCATCACTTTAATTGGCAAACCTGTCAATACACGATATAATCACATGATTTGCATTTTGTATTGCCTCTTGAATTTTTTATTTTTTTCATTTTTTTTGTAACTAGCGATTTTTTTTTTTTTTTTTTTTTTCATTTACTTAAATCCCAATACTTGGTGTTAAAATGCACGGCTCATTCGCTTATCATCAAATACGTTTGATTTGTATTTGCGATTTTTGAATGTTGCAATAGCTATACATCTGTTTTTTTGCTAGTATACAGATCTGAAGAATCGTTGAAACAATTATATCGGACTCATGGGCGTCAGAGTATTTAAAGGCACCGATTGATTGTACTCAACAGTTTGGAATCTCTTCAAATATATTGTAACATTTCATCTCTGTCGAAAAATTAAAACAAAAAAACGTTTGTTTTAACGATTCTGTAGATCTTTTATTTTCCTAACACGTTATTTAGTTTGCTAACAAATTTTAATTAAAAAAAAAAAAAAAAATCATATGAAGGTTTAAAAAAAAAGTATTGATTAAATAGTGTTTTATAAAGAAATAATATTTTTATTTGCAAAATAAATAACTTGCATCATGATAGGATTCTTTTGTACAATAAATAGGCGTATTATAATAATTGTTCTCCAAATTTTTTCAATTTCGTTTAATCTTCACTTTTATTTAAATAGTAATAATAATTCGGACAATGTTTCCAAAGACGTTTTATTTCAGAGAATCGTAATAATCAACGCACTCTTTTTAGCAGTAATTCGCAGTGATTTTCAAAACGCAAACGTAAGTGGTATAAAGAAGAATTTCAGGTTACCGTAAGCGAAGTACTAATTACAGAATTAAAAAAAAAAAAGATGGTTCAGGTATAACGTCCTAATTTAATGCTAGGCAGTAAAATCAAGACATTACAAACACTTTTTAGTTTAACGAAAAGAGGTTTTGAAAAATTGTAATATCTTTGTTGAATACAACTACTTTTGTTCGACAAAAATAACTAGCTTTTACAATAGCTCCGACCATACGTAGCATAGCCAAATGATAAAAAAAAAAAAATTATTCTCATCCATTTTTTCGTAAACAAGATCTTGTACATAAGAAAATTATTTGCGCTACATATAGTAAGACACTAGAAATGTTTAGTTTCAACTTTTCTCTCAACCAACCATCGAAGAGAAAAGGCACAAGTCAAAAAATTATTATTTATTGAGTAAGCAAAACACTGGGTCAGGAAATAGAAAAGGGGTGAAAAGGTAAGGGGGGGAAGACGCCCTACAAAATTAAAGGAGAACGATACAGAGTTGTCGAGAAAATGCTTTAAATTTCGCTCTATTCGCGTTTTCTTTCTCTTTTTTTTTTTTTTTCAGCGATTGCACCATTTATAGTATATATATATATGTACAAATTTTTTAAGTAGGTAGCACAGTTCTTTTTTTTTTCTTTTTTTTTTTTGCTTGTTTTTCACACCACAGAATAACGGAGGCGATTTCCAACTGAGGGACGAAGACACAGCCACAATCGATCAGGATACGTGACACTGACAGCGTGAAGCACTATATCTATACAATCTTTGACCAGTCTCATACTATTATTCTTTCTAATCCGTCCTTTAGCACATTGGAGTGTATTTGGCGAATCTTCGAGCTCTCAAAGCTTAGTCTAATAATCTAGCCTTTTACTATCTGTGAAACCGATTCATTGTTTTTTCATTAGTTTGCAATGGTTGTTATAAATTAACTTGCAACGATGCACCAATGGCTATGATAGCTTGTTTTTCGTGTTCTTCGTTGTACTAGTTTTTTTTTATTTTTATTTTTTTTATTTTTTTATTTTTTTTTTTATCTTTACGTTTATCCGAGATGATTGTACAGTGACCATTTCATGAAAGACAGTAGTAATAATGACTACGGATCGACTCTCGTTATTCTGTGGCCTTCCAAACACTACCCACACACACAAAATTTCATATAATTTTTTATTTTTTTTTTAATCATAGAGATAGTAATTTCCTTTCTGCCATCCCTTCACAATAAATCATTCTCCTTTAATAATTTTTTTGTTCTTCCTACCCTTGCCCAAAGGAGTCGGCATCAATTAACGTATTAAAAATTACATATTCCAAGATATTAAGTACATCACAGTAACATGATTTTTTTTTGTCAAACTTCAAAAAGAATTTTGGTAAAACGATACCTCGGTACATTCAACTTTATCAGGGATGCACAATGAGTATACGAGGAAGATTTGAGTTTCATAACTGTGATATATAAATAAACAAAAAGTCATTGATATTTAGATACAGCTTAATACTGTTCGTAAAAAATAATAAGATAAATTGATAACTGTTACATCCACATAAATACAAAATGGTTTTTATAAACTGTTCAATCAAGTGAAACTATACATATATTGTAAAGGGATATTACTGTCAAGCATATAATATAATGGGACGAGTACAGGCAAACAGTGAGACGGAACGCGTGTGGCTTGAGGTAATCATCAAATTTTACAGAAAAAAGCAATTGGAACAATCACAAAATACATCTACAATAATTTTATAACCAACGTAAGACATTTACGTTCATTATTTGATGACAAGTAAATAAGCATATTTATATGGCTTTCATCGATAATGGTCGCTGCTGATTCATCAATTCATCTTTATTAATTTTTTTTTTTTTTTTTTCGATTTTTGTTATCGTTGGGTTCTCATTTGAGGTAAAAAAATGTTCAAATACCCATTGTGTCTTTTGCAAGGATATTGTTTAAATGATAAGTTACATAGTCATTGTGCATCCTTGAAAGAACAAAAAGAAATTCATACATTCAGCATGCAAGTAACGATGCAGTAAAGAGAAATTGAACAAACTAACACTGAAAAATCGTGAATTTTCATTCAGAAATATATCCACATGTATGTATGTGTGTGTGTGCGCGTGAGCGTGTATTCATGTCAGAATCGTATTTGTATTAAAATATTGACCCTTCAAGAGGATGATATAATGCAGCAAAAAAATCATCTCAGTAACAAAACTAAAATTTAAAAAACTTATGTCTTGAAGGGTTAAGGGGTCAAAGAGCGTTGGAAATGAGGTCAGCGAGCTTTCGCTCGTCTTCTTTCGCACTCGGTCGCACGCATTTTCTAAAAATTCCATGTCGCGACGACTGGGACATAGATGAACTTCGTGCACGGAAAATTAATATTCAAGTACAGGTCTTGCGATGTGTGAGTTATATATATGTATGTCACCGCTTTTGTGTGATGAGTAGAATACAGTTGTCCAAAAACTTTAATACGAGCATACGTATGTTTTTTTTTTTTAATTTTTTAATTTTCATAGGTTTTTTTGCGAATGAAAGTTAAATGACATTATCGAACGTTTGAACGTACACAAAGCTTGTGAATTAATTATCAATTCAAATTAGTAAAGAATATGAATGGAGGTGCTCTATATTACAAAATAAATAAATCTCTCTCTTGTTCGTTGAGAGAAAAAAAAATCTTTCAAACATGCCGAATATATAATAATAATAATAATAATAATAATAATAATNTAATAATTATAATAATAATAATAAGAGACGTGTAAACGAAAATGAAAATTTGGAGTACTAAAAAAAGGATTTAACTTACCGCTTGGAAAACTTTGAGGAGATTTTGGAAAAGAAGGACGGCCTTATCGAGGTTATCGCGTTCGTGTCCTGCGTATGCGTATGACTCTAGAATAAACAATAACTTTTGTTAAACATACGTATATATATTTTTTTTTGCGTAATTATCGCATTGCACAAAAGCAAAAATAGCTCAACTCCATAGCATTTTTTAATGCAGCGGTTTGAAATACTTTTGGTGCATTCATTATAAATGTAGCAAAACAAACCTGAGTGTGATTCCTCGATGTACGATTTTGGCCAGAGTGGAAGGTACTACGACTCGGAACATTCCTCGGGAAGGCAGGCGCCGTGGGCGTTGCTAATCTATTGCTTGGAGTGACACCCAAGCTTGAAAAGAAAAAAAGAAAAAAAAATTTTTTTTCGATTAGTGTTATCATCATTTAGCTCGATTCTTACAAATAAAATATATCATCTCGTCATTCGTAAATCAATTGTCATTTGCTATTATATAACTACATTGACGAAAAAAAAAAAAAAAAGTTCTATCGATGCAATTTTTTCTAATTTTTCTTTCAACTGGTTTTGAATTTTCTTTCCACATTTTGTAAGCAACAACTACGAAAAACGTTCGTATTCACGTTTGCCTTTAACGGAATGCATTCAAATGTTCAACATGTATGTGTGGTAGGTAGTATGAACATTGATAAAAGACAATTTTCATATTTATAACGGAATATAACACAGTGGCACATGTTTCGAAGGGTTACATATTTTCACTCCACAAATAGTATTTAAAAATGTTGTCAATACGACAACGTATTATTGGAAACAATCAACAACATCGTAGTCGTTAGTTGCATGCATTACATCAAAACAACGTGCTGTTAATAAGAGATTTTTTTTTTTTTTTTTTTTCATACAAGTAAAAGATAATGTAACGTCCAACCATGTTTATCATGTGTGTGCGTGCAAATTACAATATTGATATCGATAATCTCGGAACAAAAACATAAGTATAAAGCCAGTTATGAAAACGAAAAAAGACAAATGAATGACGAAGATGATAAACGAATGACGAAGGAGTTTTGAAAAATGGCAAAGATAAGTAACGATTATTCTGCAAAGTAGGTGCTTATGTACGTACAAACAAAATAAACATGCAGATGAGCCATGTAATCTCAGAAAGATCACAAGTTGTTATACGAAAGAAGACCAAAAACTATCCAAGAGGCGCGTATGTACAAAGGCACTTTGTGGGTGAAAAAAAATAACGATTCACGGAGGATTAAAGTTCTCAAACGCGGCGTACACGATTGTATCATTCAAGTCACGAAAGTTTCGACACCTCGAGTTAGTTAATGGTCTGATGGAGGAAAGGATGAATCTCGGCGAGTATGCCAGATAAAAAAAAAAAAAAATCTTTTTTTTGTTCAAGGCAAGCACGCGTGCAGCGTTGAAAGGGGAGAAGAAAAAAAATCTGATCTGGCATACCCCGTATATGTAACATGTACAAGATAAGGAAGATATGGGAAAGGAGGAGAGAAAGAGCGCGAGGATCATGTACCTCTGCCTGAGAGGGTCAGCAGCAGTTACGAGTAGGGAGTTGTGGGCGTTGCGCGGCTGGGGATGATCCAGTAGCGCATGATCGGCCGGGGACGTCGTGACACCGCTCGAGGCTCGGTGGCTCGCGCTGATGCTCGCTGATTTCGTATGACCCCGCGTTGGCCTAATAGCGCCCTCGGCCAAGCTGATATATTTACCATCCGCCCATACAAACAATCAATATTGTTCATCGACGTATTAGCGATAATTATTTCTTTTCCCATTTTTCGTATGCATTGGCTTCATGTTGTACATTGATCCACGAAATTTTAAAAGGTAAAATTTAAAATCGACACCGTCATTGTAAAACAATTGGATCTTTTTAGCTGTTTCGCGATCGATTTGCTTTCATTGCACGTTTGGCGGAGCTGGTGGGAATACGCGGAGATTCACGCGAATGAACGAGTATGAGTGAAAATGAATGACATGAATAAACCAAACTGACATGGAGTGTAAAAATAATTGTCATGTTGATGAAGGGAGGTGGTGTTTTTAGAAATATTTGTCCATACGTGATTGTGGGCTCGTGCGTTTTCTTATTCAGAGCCGCGAAACGTGTGAAAATTGAATTATGTGCACATGATCCATATATTTATGAGTACGTGAAATTGCGTGTATGTACACCTAATAATGTATGGACAAAAAATATGGTAGAGTATAATTATTGTTTAATTTGGTCTATTGAAATGTTATAAAAATGCACGTATGCGTGGCCATTTTACTATAGTGAGAACGAGAGATCGACTTGGCAAGTATATTATACTTAGTGGAAGAAAATTCTAACGAGAGACAGAAACTGTCAGGCAGAGCAGCCAGCATGCTTGAGCGATGCAACAAAATAAAGTATCTTATTATAGGTATGAGAACACGTGATCGTGTGTGCGTGTCAGTAAGTGATATTGTTGGGTTAATTTCTCTTGCAACGCCTAAATTTACGTTCTAATGGTTCATTCTAACGTTAGGGGTTAGTGTTTTGTACAAAAGCTATTGATTAATTCGAAGCATCGGGTATCAACATAAACCTCTGTGTATTTGTGTGCTATAACATTTTCCAAAGGCATATCATTACTTGTATTTATCGTTCGTCTAATCATTATTGGACGTTTTGTAGCTGAAACTATTTATTATTGTACAATCATTAGATTAATTGTTCGAGATTTATTCTGGTGCGCGGTATATTATTTACACTAAATTAGTCGAGAAATTCATAGAGGAAAATCGCATGGCAAAATCAAAACGTTGAAATACCTGGGCATGTCGTTCGTTCTTTCGGTGGAGGCGGACGCCGTTTTGGCCTGATCGTAGGATATGGTACTACGACGGCCAATAGAGCCAGGCGTAGGTGTACAACTTTTAACGGCTGTGAATCCTGTGTTCATCGTGTTAGTCTTGCCGACTCTCGGCTTGCCGCCAGGACTCGTACCGACGCCTAGAATGAACATTGTCACTGCAAGCCCTCATTAGATATGGTTCAACACAAAACAAAGCAAAATAAAACATGGAAACTTTTGTTCTCTCTTTGACTTTTTTTTCGTCTCTTTTCTTTTGCTTTTATTTTCCCTTCAAACGAAACAAGATCACAAGACATTTAAATATAAAACACAATGCGAGTATGCACGGATACTCGGAGAGACTCGCACTTGGTAACATATAAATACACAAATAATAATAATAAAAAAAAAACGACAATTGTTTTAGAACCACCACCAGCAAAGCTTATTTTCACTTCCCTTTTTGATCCTTTTAATAATTAAACGTAATAACAAAAAAAAAAAAACAAAAAAAAAAAAATGGAAAAATTCTGATAAAACTAGTTCTTTTTTCATCAAGTAGTACTCACGTTTTAAAAATCTCTTTATCGAAGACAGGGCTGAGCAAAAATTTAGATACATTAAACAATAGAATATTTATTAATCATTAGGACATGGCAAAAAAATAGTAAATCAAATTAATAAGTTATCAACTAGGCTAATAAATTTAAAAAACTCACAAGCATGTTGGAAGAACATACAGGTTTGGATTAAAAAAAAATGTTAATAAAAAAATTATTGTTAATATTTAGGTAGATGCTAGTGATGGATTTCGATTGTGTTTAAACGCACACTGATGTTTGCTCAATAGACACAAATGACATAAGACAACTGGTTCCTGAATAAACCAATAATTATTGATTTAGTCTTAGAATTAAAAGTAATAGTTTGTCGTCCACATCTATTTAAATCGACATTTATGCGTTTTTCAACTTATCAATCCGTTATTCGATGCTGCCCAGCCCTGATCGAATGACTTTTAGTTATTTTATAAAAAAAAAGTATGAAATTTTTTTTTCCAATAAACAGTTTGTTTTATATAAAACAAGATGAGATAAAAAAACAACCCCAAATAAAAAAAAACTATCTGATTAGTTAATCCACTGCAACCAATTCCAAAGCAAACATTTGTATTGAAGCCTCGAAGCGATGAGGTACGAATGATGTCATTGCACGATACTGAGTTGGCAATAATAATTCGTGGAGTCTTGGTGAAAAAAATGTGGTTATCTGATGATGAAATTAACTCACTAGTATCAAGCTGTCCAGGGCTATTTTTTGGCGCAGATGGCCTAATAGACTCACGAGCTGCTCGTGCGGAATTTTCTTTAATTGTTGCTGCGTCCACGGTATTCTGACGTTTGAAATTACTACCACTTGTTCCAGTTACCGTTCCACCGGTTACAGCAGTAGCATGATTGTGGTTCGTTGTATTACCTGGACTTGGAGCTCCGCCTAAGAAGCAAATTCTAGTAGAACCATACGTCGACGAAAGACGCATCTTGCTTGTATTTTTATTAGCCACATATCGTCACAATCTTTTATTTCGTTAAATAATGAAAACAAGTAACAGTTGGAAAAAAGAAAAAAAAATGTTTAAAGTACAGGTAAAGTTAATCATGAGATTCTTTGGATAACACCAGAAGGCTGCGCCGTCTTAGCAACAAGGAAAGCTTGACCTTAAATAACCTATGGCAATGAATCAGCCAAGATTTTCCTGCTGCAAGTAGGCAAGTTATTTTGTCATGCATGCGGTGAAACCGAGATGCGAGATCACACTCGTGAGCTAAAAAAAGGAAAGTACAAATATCATTTGAAAAGCCTGCAGGTCTGCAACGTCAGTATACTATAGTGTAAGCTGCGTTTTTGTAAAGAAATCGCGATCGCCGCCTGAGAGGACGACGACAACGAAAATTATTATTATTATTAATAACGTATCGCAAGAGGTCTGCAGTAGTAGCAGCGGCGTCAGTAGGGCTTTGTTTTGGCTGGTCGATTGCCTTGTTCGACTTACGAAGCGTTTCCGCACCGGATGAGGCTCGCCTGCTGGGTTTTGGATTGCTCGCCGAGATGCTGCGGTGCACGCTACGATGCGAGGGACTCTGAGCAGCTCCTCCCGTCCCGGCACCGCCGCCAGCGCCTCCGGCCGAGCTGACCTGCGGTGGAATGTTGCGCAGTGATAAGGAGCTGCCTGACCTCGAGCCATCGCTTTCCGGCTGAAAGAGTTTTGATTCTTTGAATGTTGCAAAACACGAGCAAAAGGAATTTGCTTTTGACGTGTGACTTACGTCGTTGCTTTTCCTGCCAAGCAGCAAGTACGTCGCGAATACATCGTCGTATTTCGCTTGTGACAGTGAGTCTTCGATTTCACTTCGCGTGTAGCCCATACTCGCTAGTGCTTCTGTAACACACAGGCGTGGTAGGCATAGTCAAATCCATAAGTATCTTATCTAAACGTCTATACGCGTCAATAAGCAATCTAACAACTCTCTAAGTAATCATTTCCAAAAGTCAATGTAATCAAATTAATATAACTTTGCAAAAATAATTAAAAAAAAAAAAAAAAAAAAAAAAAAAAAAAAAAAAAAAAAAGATAAAACTAAGGAAAAATTTGATCTGGTTAATTTAATCACAAGTCTAAGTAAACAAAACAAACATTGAAAAATGGCATGCAGTAAACATTAAAAAATAATAAAAAAACAAAAAACGAAAAAAAACAAAGATACCAAATAAAAAAGTTTAGCACAATAATTATTATTGGTCTGATCGACATCTCTTTAGTTTAGATAAAACTAAAAGATATACACATGACCTTGACTGATCTTCGGCATCGTTGTCATTGCACGGCGACGCAGAGGCTGTCGCGTATGCCATCTACGCTTTTATACTTTTTATACATGGGCCCCCAGATACTCTCGCTGCACTCTTGAGGGCGAAACGAGTTTTCTTTTTCGTTTGTTTACGAGGCAGTTAGTAGAACAACAACAACAACACGAATTCGAAGCGAGACAGTGCAAGGATAGATAACAGTATCGAAAAAAAAGCGAGTATTATAGATTGTGCCTGGCTGTGTGTGCCCGCAGCAGCAGGAGCCTGGACGGAGCAGCAGCAGCAGCAGCAGTAGCAGCCCACACACAAATGAACGACAGTCCCGCCGATTGTTTTTTTTTTTTTTTTTTTTTGATCGGCGTATTTCCGGTTGTTGTCTTTTTTTTTTTTTTAATTTTGTTTGTTCGTTTTAATTTCAAGCAGTTAGAGTGTCCGAATGCGATGCGCTTCTATCTATGACAAGAACGGTAAGTAGTAAGTGTTATGTACATACTGGCAGACTCACCTATCCTCTTGTGGTCTTTGTAATCGGGCTCTGGTTCTAAGTACGGTTTCAACTCGTCGTCTTCGTAACCCATGTTCATCCACTTGTCCTTCATAATAGTCTGTGTGACATTAAAGAATCGTCGCGTTATGTACGTGTTCATACTCGATGGGTATACATTTACCAATAATAAAAATGTTTTACCTCCAATGAGGCCCGTTTCGTGGGATTGAGCACCAAAAACTTTTTGAGCAGAGCCTCGCAGTCCGTGGACATGTAGAAGGGAATCCTGTACTTGCCCCTGAGCACCCTCTCGCGCAACTCTCTGAGCGTCGAGCCGTCGAAGGGCAGAGAGCCCGACACGAGGGTGTAAAGTATCACGCCGAGCGACCACACGTCGACCTCGGGACCGTCGTACTTTTTACCTGAACCACAGTCACAGAAGGTCACAATCATTCGAAAGATGATGAACAATGCAAGCAAATTGCAAGGGTACCTTGAAACAACTCGGGCGCGGCGTAGGGGGGCGAGCCGCAAAAGGTGTCGAGCTTGTTGCCGGGCGTGAACTCGTTGCTGAAGCCAAAATCGGCTATCTTGATGTTCATCTCGCTGTCCAGCAAGAGATTCTCGGCCTTGAGGTCCCTGTGTATGATCTTCTTTTGGTGGCAGTACTGCACGGCCGAGACGATCTGCCGGAACTTGGCTCTGGCCTCCTTCTCCTTCATCCGGCCGTGGAGCACGAGGTAGTCAAAGACCTCGCCCCCGCTCGCGTACTCCATCACCAGGTACAGCGTCTTCTCCGTCTCGATCACCTGGAAGAGCTTCACGATGTTCGGGTGGTCGAGCATCTTCATTATCCTGACCTCGCGGAAAAGCTGCAAGAAATCCGAGATTACGCACATTACAGGTATTGTCAATGATCAATCAATCGCAATAAAAGACAAACTATGGAAGCATATCCATAGCAATCACACACTGCATAAGCCCCCCCCCCTCTTGTCCGATTTGCTGTTGTTTACAATGACACATCGCGAAACGATTACAACAGAGCGAGAAAGGAGGACAGCGCCCCATTGACTTTTCATCATTCGCTTGACAAACGGTCCTCGCAGGTGGCTCTCCTCTCCCCCCTTGGTCGATCGTATCACATTCGACACGTATACGTATACGGATGGTACTTAGAGAAACAAGTTGACATTGCGAAGGGGATTACGTTCAAGCATCCCCCATCTGCTGTTACTGCACTTTATAGAACAGGTGAGTGCTGAGTTGGCGGAGAGGGCCGCAATGCATTTAAAAGCTCGAGGTGCAGTCAAAAAGAAAGTACCCCTCGCGCAATCGACTATGTCAATAACAAAATTAATCGGCGCCAGTGCAATTGGCACCTCCTTCTTCCGTTGGTTGCCATCGCGTGCAGTCAACATTAATTTGATGAAATTGGGGGGAAAAAAGAAAGAACAAAAAGGAAAAAAAAAAGGAAAAAAAAAAAAAGCAATAGTGTACACGCACCTTTTGCAGACTGCCCGGATTGAGTTGCGTCTTGTCGATGATCTTGATGGCGACCTCCTTGCCCGTGGGCACGTGCTTGGCGAGCTTGACCTTGGCAAAGTTGCCCTTGCCGATGGTCTTGAGGAGCTTGTACTTGCCGATGTGCGGCTCCTCGGACGTCCTACTGCGTGACGAGAGTCGCGCCGCGCTCGGCGCACCAGCCACGGTGCCGCCCGACACGCCGCCCCCGCCACCTCCCCCGATGATGCCATCGTTTGCCTGCAACATCCACGAATCGACGGGCACGCGGACGCAAGCCACCCCACCAAAAATCAACATTATTAATCATCATCATCATCATCATATTGTATTCACATATACATATATTTTAAAAACAAAACAATTGAACATATATAGGCAAGTGGATGACGATGAAGGGGTAAAAGGAGGCTCGGGGGTCATCGCGAGTCATCATCGTACACAGCCACTGCAAGTGGGAGCAATTATCAACGAGTACAAAAAATAAAAAAAAAACAAAAAAAACTATACATCATGTACAAGCTGACGGGGAAGAGAATGTATGTGTTATAGAGTACGTAGGAGAAAAAGCCCTGCCTTGGCCTCGTCCGCCCTGGCGTGCGAGGAGCGCGCGCGACCATCTTGCCGAGGCTGCTTGGTCGCCCGCAAGCTCGAGGTGGCAGCTTGCTGCTGCTGCTGATGGTGATGGTGGTGGTGGTGCTGCTGCGAGTACGGCTTTTCGTTGCTCGACGACGTTGTTGTTGTTGTTGTTGCTGCTAACGCAGTCGTGGTAGTCGAGCCACTAGCACCAGCACCCGCACCACTAGCACCGGCACTAGCCGTCTCCGAGGACGGCGGGTTAACAGTAACCCCCTTGCAGCTGCCACTACTATTTGACGACGTAGCTACGGTGATGGTGGTGGTGGTGGTGGTAGCTGTGACAGGCGTCGTCGGCTGCAAGGGAAGCTGTTCCCGGGCGGTCGCCATCCGCCATCCGCTCCGACTTTCTCTGCACGCTCTCACGGGTCTGTACACCCAACTACACGGACTCCCCGACTATCGTGTCACTTGTGTCTCCACTATATATTATCTACCCACGTAGGCATACGTGTGGCTACATAGCACGGATACCCTCGGCTCGCTTGCAAAGCGCACCGTATAAACATATACATATCATACGTGCAGATACAGGGGGATGATGGCTGGCTGGCTGGCGCCTCTCAAGGGGTGGTTGTGGGGAGGCCAGGGGATCGATACTCGACGACTACCAGTCGTTGGGGGAGGAGGGCTACGACGACGAGAACAACTCGCACGGCAGCCCGCGCCTGCGCGACCCCCCCCCCCCCCCCCCNATGTAAAACGCAAAGGAAGTGCAAACCGAAGGTTCAATCGATACAATGGCTTCTCGTGACAGTATAATACAAGGCGTAAAGTATAGATGTATGGGCAGTGCAGGAAAAGAAAGCAGCAGCAGAAAAAAAAAAAAAAAAGTTGTGTACACCCAATATTTTGTACGCGGCTCCTATACAGTCGCTCTCGCGGATGAAAGCGATAAAGGCCCCAAAAACGCCCACCCCCGAATATGTACTTGTTGCTCCCGCGAGTTGTGCAGTGCCTATACACACATGCCACCACCATCGGCAAGTAGGTATACATATTATGTATTATCAAGGGGGAATAATAATAATCCAGTATATATACTGTGTGGGAGCGATGTGGCGCCCTCATTTCCCTCCTTCTCCTCGGCGCAAGTGCGCGGGAGGGTGGGTGGAGAATATGGCTTTGTCGCGATGTATGTATTAATCGTGTGATGTAAGTTAATGGAAAACAGAATTGCGGACGGATAAGAGAGAGAGAGAGAGAGAGTAGGCCGTGTCTTGTTGTCGTTGTTGCGGAGAGAGGGTTACCTCGAGATCGATGGGCCGGGTGCTCGGATTGTTCAACTTGGCGACGGCTCGGTGCATCCTCTGGGGCGTCTCGAGTTCCGGGCGCCGGCGCGCGTCCGAGGCGGCGCGCGCCAACTTCATCGCCATGGCCGGGGTGCCGTGGGACGCTCGGGCACGGCTCTCGTAATTGAAGGAACTACGGAACGCCTCGCCGCGATCCATTCCCCCTCGGCGACTCGGCACGAACCTACTTTTTCACACATTTTTTTTTTCTTTTTTTTTTTTTCTCCATATTACATTTTACCGGTACATCACACACGCCGCGTACACAGCACACAACGTCACGCATGTACAAAGATGAAACTTGCTTAACAACGTTTACTTCATCGGTGAGGTTTGTCGATGACAAAATAAACGATAACACGATGATCGTCGCGTGCATGGCTCGCTGGTGCGTCGATGGGAAAATAAAATACACATGCAATTCGATCGGCTTTTAAATACATTTAAATGAATTTCTCCTTCGTCGGAGGATTGACCTCCCTCGAGCCTAATGTGCGTGATCCATGGATTTATAAATTGCCCCCCCCCCCTCCTCTCGATTTAAACATATATATCATGAACAACAAAGTCTAGTGGTAGGTTTAGGTTACTCAAACGATATATGCTTTTTAAAAAGTTGAAAAAAAAAGGTGTATTTGGTTTTCTCGTGGCTAACAAAGGGTGCTTATCTTATCTCTCCATCTACGACGCTACAAGTTTCGTTTTTTTTTTTTTATTGTTTCGGTGAAATAATTTGTTTTTACTAGCTGCTGAATAACGGTATACCGAACGAACAATCATATCCTGCTTTTGAATACCAAAGTCACGGAAGAATCTCGTTAGAATCAAACCATGTGGAGATGCATAATCAATGGAATACTCCCTATACACTATACTATCAGTGGTTCAATGATCAACTATGTCATAGTATACAGGTTGCCATCATTAAGGTAATTTAATTCCTTTAGGGGGAGAAAAATGGCTTGTTTCAGTATTTTTTCCTTTTTAATTTTTAAGTGATATTCCAAGGGTAAAAATAAAAACTCTGAAGCATCTTTCTTACCCCAAGACTGCCCGAAAAATCGACCGTGTGAAAATTTCAAATCAACAGGTGACTTTAGAAAAACCCCCAAAGGGGTGCATGATTCGGTATTTATCAATATTTTTTCCACTATCGTCGATTGGTTGATTATTCACCCTAAACTGAAGTAAATAAAACAGGAAATCCGTAATCGGTTGTTAACATCGTTGTCGTTCACGGTGAATGATAATGAATAGACGCTCTTTCCTGTTTTCCTTAATTATTTGTTTTTTTTTTCCCAAAATCTGTTTCACCACAAGGCACGACGAACAAATAATCTACCTTTAAACGATGCAATGAAAAAAAAAGAAAAAAAAACACTATCCAACGCATTCGAAGAAATAATATCTGAGAACGAGAACAAAAGTGACAGCGCTATGAATAGAGGAAGAGAAAAAAATCCGAGGAAAGCGATGTCGTAGCCCAACCATCGTCTGGTTCCCCTCCCACTTTATAGATCACGCTGCTCTTCCAAACACACGCTGTACAGCCCAAACCAGGCAAGACCCACTTTACAATAGTCAACGTACCGCGCGGCTGTACGATTGATAATAAATTCTTATTACTGCCGTATACAACGAAATGGAAATTTGTTTTATGAGCGACATACCCTGTACGATGTGTATGAAAATTTTGTCCGAATGAATTTTTTAGGGCAGACGAGTTTCGAAAGTGGTTATACACGCGTCGCTTTTTATTCCACCGATTTTTATCGGCGTAATTGGCAGGGATATAAATATGCTCGTTGCGTCACTCGCAGACCGATCGATCGAAAGTACAGCAACCACACCGGACTTTGCCTACAACTTTTGTGCCAGAAAACTTGAAGATTTGCTCGCGCTGCTTTTTTTTTTTTTTTTTTTTTTTTTTTTTTTTTTCAATCAAAAGATCGGTACTACACACACGTGTGTTTTCACAAACGAGTTTACACACCAAACGAGAATCGAGTTAGAGTTTCGTTGTACCAAAATACACGCGGTCGATCAAAATAGTGTCTGGAAATTCCTAATGGGCATGAGTTACAATAAAGAGAATGGGAGAGAGGAGGGCCGAGTGTGGCCGGCTATCGTGGCGCAATCGATGAAAGCTATTCTCGAAGGATAACATCCAATTATAATACGATAGCGGCCCATGGTATGCGGCTCACGAAAATGAGGACCAAAACTAGTCGGGCCAAAACAAAAAGTTTCCATATAGAAATTAAAGAATACAATTTTTTTTTTTTTTTTTTTTTTTTTTTTTTTTCCAAGTATAATATATACATTTCGATAGTTGGCGTACGAAAATAAATTGTGACTTCACTGTTTGGGGTATCGATACGTAAACTCCGTTTGGAATAAACGAACGGGGGAGCCTTCGACTTCAGCCTCGATTTCGCAAGCAAATATTTTGTACGCGGCTCCTATACAGTCGCTCTCGCGGATGAAAGCGATAAAGGCCCCAAAAACGGGAAGCCAAAGTCCTCGTATATCTCAATTATTATAGTCAATCTGCTCGGTCATTCAAATATGATTAACATCGCGTTATCTTCTAATGCACGTATACATATACACATTGAACACGACACAGGAAATTCACGGATTCAACGGCAATCGCCGAGGAGGCGCACACGTTGTATCTTTAAGTATATACATATATTTCCTCGAGCGACGCAACGAGAGATATACACGCTCTAATCGAAAGACCCGATAGCGAATAGCTTGTAGACTCAACTAATGGTCTTTTTTTGTTTTTTTATAATTTTCAAAAACTACTAACGAGGCGTTTTTTTTTTTTTTTTTTTTTTTGATATTACAATGGTCCTCGAGAAAAACCTAGGTTGTAATAAAACTGTACGCAACGCGTCTACTGGATTACCCTATAACCGAGCAGCGAAGCGAATGAAAAAACAAATTCACCGCCCCAGTTGCGTAACACATCTGTATAGGCTGTATTAAGCTAGTTTCTACTTTCTACATCGCGGCGTTACCACGCTCTCGCGTGGGGAAGGAGGAAATAATGCACAACGGCCTGCGTATATCCTATACACCCAATGTTAAAATACTCTATGCTTCTTGGTTTGTATGAAAAAAAAAAAAAAAAAAAAAAAAAAAAAAAAAAAAAAAAAAAAAAAAAAAAAAAA